CTCTAAAATCTAGTGCTTTAATAACCGAGCTCTTGGGCTGTAAAGGGGCCGTGGAGAGAGGCGGGGAGGGAAGGGGAAATAATTGTGCTATTGGGGTTATGGGTTCACAGAGCGTTTCCTGCCCTGGGTTTGGCCGTTCCAGAATAAAACTGAGCGATGAGGCTAGAGCTGCCTTAATGAAAAAGAGCCTAATGGCCTGTCCCTGGAGGCCACAGACCAGTGGGCTGCGACCGTCCCAGCCCTGCTCTTGGCCCCGGGTCCCTGAACTCCCTTTTTCTTGCAGATATTTGCGCAACAACGTGGCTCCGCTTTCGCACCGAGCCTCGGCACGCACCGTTCTCTGGCGGAGGTTTCTTCAAATCCTGGGCTGTTGGAAAGACCAACAGGTTGCTTTTATGCTTTTATTTATTTTCAGGGTTTTGCATTTAAACTCGGCGCTCTAGGAAATCCCTCCTGGCTCGTGACATCCCTGGGGCTGCTCCTGCTGCCTGGGCGCAGGCGGACCCAACACCCGGCTCTGCCCCCAGGAGCAGCCCGGGCTGCAAAGTTGGGCTCAGATCCCAGCTTTTTCCACACGGAAAAAAAAAAAAAACAACAACCCAAAACAAACCAAAAACCCAACAAACAAAAAACTTCAGGGTGTGAACGCAAAACCTGCCGTCCCAGGGGACCATCCCTGAGTGGCTACGCGGCCCAGGTGGGGGATGATGGGTCTGGGGGGTTGTTTGTCTGGGAAATAGCATTAAAAATAAGTTGTTTAGCGCTCGCGCGGCCACCGAGCAGCACAGCAAAGGGCTGGGCCAGCGACTGCTTTTTAATTTCAGAAATGTCACTGAGTCATGAATGACTCATAATTATAATGGGAGACATTTCCAACCCGGTGTATGACTCGGAGATGTCTTCCAGGGATATTAGAGCTGTTTGTAAAAGCCAGGCCTTGCCCTGGCGCTCTCCCCTGCTCCCCGGCTGGTTTGTGTGTCCCCCCCTCACCAAGGTGACAGCCCGTCGTGCGGTGGCAGCAGGGACGCGGTGGCCTCGCCGGGCTGAGGATGCTCATCCATGTCCGGCGGGAGCCAGGGGACGCATTAATGCTCCCCATCAGGTGACAGGTGTCTATTAAAGTGACTCCCATCACCGCTGCGTCTGGCCTGCCCTTGACTCGGGGCCGCCCCGGCAGACAGCTCCGTGTCGGTGCTTTAACCCCAGCGCCGGGGCGGCCGCGGCTCCTGGGGGATTGGCAACAGGGTGTGTGTCCCCCCCCTCTCCCTGGGCTGCGCTCACCCCAGCCGCGCGGCCTCTTGGGGACAGGCGATTCGTCCCCTTTCCCATCGTTTTGGGTGCAAAGGTGGATTATTTTTTTTTTACGGTTGGAGCTTCGTGCCGCGTAGAGCAGCGGCATCACTGCCTGCGACAGGGGCGGCGGGAGGGGGGGTTTGTGTATCTGAGCATCGGCTGGGTTATCCCTGGCTCTGCCACTGTTCCCTCCTCTTCCCAGCCAGAGGGATTGTCCTTCCCATTCCCAGCGGGATGGGGCTGGTTGGGTCCCCGGCAGCATGTCCCGGTGGTGGGTGCTACGGTGGGTGATGCTCCCCCACAGCGATGCTTCAGCACCCGGCTCTTCCCACAGCTCACCTGAGCAGACAGCCCATCGCTATGTCTCCAGGCCCAATTAATTAAGCAGGATCGGTATGAAGTAAATTAGGGAGGTATTTGATCCAGTCGGACCAGTTCCGAGCTCCCAGGGTTACTGGTGTGGGCCCCTGCCAGCATCGTCCCCAGTGTGATGCCTAGGAGCTGGGCTCGGGGAGCTGTGCGGTTCCCTCCTTGCTGGAAATACTTTCTCACCAAATAGCATTAAATATTCCTGAGCTGTGAACATCTTGGACTGATTTTATTTTCCATAAATAAACTTGTTGGGAGATATTTGGAGATGGGCCTAAGCTGCAGAGCTTGGACTGGGTCCCAAATCTCGCTGCTGTTTGGGCTCAAGGGGTTGGTTCAGGATTGTTTCGAGCTTTATTTTGGTTTTAAGGGTTTGAGATTAAATAGCTGCCCTCAGACGGGACCCTCCCAGTGCTTGCCCAAGCTCCTCAGTCCCCCCAGGGGCTACTGAAGGGCGCAGAGGGGCTACTGGGCATCCCCTCGCCGCCAGCGTGGGCTGTAGGGTTATAAATCTATAGGTTGACACAGGGGCTGGGGTTTTTAGAAGTGGCCACTACCGTGGCCAGCTGGACGCTGTGGGTGTCCGTAAGGTACCAGCCCCTGGTGCATGGACTGGGATGCAGATGCTCCATGTTTTAGGCAGCTGCCTGCACCAGCACCAGGGGTTTGTGGGGCACAAACCCTTCATCCTTGCACGTGTGAGGTGCCCCTCGCCCAACCCCTCCCAGCCCGCGGCGTCTCCGGTCTGTCACAGCTTCTCGCTGGAAGTGGGTTGTTTTTCCAGATTGGGGAAAGGGGAAAAAAAAAAAATTAATTCTGTTTATTTATTTTTAAATGGGGAAATTAAGTAGGAGAGCTGTAAGGATGTGTTTGCAAACCCGCTCCCTGTGCGGCACATCCCGGCGAGGCCGGATCTGTGGGGTGAGGAGATGAGGGTTTAATTCCCTTCCCTCACCGGAGGGGCCGAGCACTTTCTGCTTGTCTAACATGTGCCTGATTAATTATGACAAGTACAGGATTGCTCTTTTGGTGAGCGCACATGCTCCCCGAACCCCTCGCGGTCCCTCACCCTCGGCTTCCCTTCTTTTCACTCAATTTTCAGGTTTATGCCAAGCGCAGCCATGGGAAGAGGAGTCTAATCTGACCCGTAAACTCTGTCACATCCTCATTAATTTGGCCATGTCTCCCCTGGTAGCCTAAGGGAACCGTCACATTTTTAACGAGGCTCCGAGGAGACAGTCTCAACGACAGCTTCATTTTGACAGCTGCGATGGGAAAGGTGCAGCGTCAGGTTTTGCGGTGAGTGCCGGGGCTCCCAGGGCTCTTGCCGGCTGCTCCGTGTGCAGGATTTGGCCCTCGCTGCTCAAGATTTTTGCAGCTCCGTGCAGGGCGTTTCGTTCCTGCTCCCGAATTTGCTGGTGGTTTAAAGCTGAGCCGGGCACAGACCCATCGATGCCGTGGGATGGGCACCCGCATCCCGGCGTGGGGCACATGCCAGCCCTTGGGAGAGCTCGGGGATTTGCCAATTCTGGGCAATTCTGCTCTTTTTCCCCCCCCCATTCTTCCTAAATTTAAATATTCTGTAGGTTTTCTCCCATGGCAGGGTCTCCTTCCCAAGGAATATTCCCCACCGTGGGGGTCAGGGGCCGCATCCCTGAGTGGTTTTATGTTCAGGACCAGGATCCGTTGCTGTTTTGTGCGAGGACAGCAGCTGATCCGGAGGGATCTTGCTCCATCCTGGGAGCTCTTCTACCCTATTCTAATGCAAATGCGCCTTAGCTGATAATCTGAATGTTGAGTGGATTATTTCACCCCCAGATGAGCTGCTGTAAGGCAAAATTTTTTTTTTTTTTTGCTTTCAGTATATTGAACCAAAGAAAAAAAAAAACCCACCACAAAGAAACCCACCTTGGAATTACATTTTATCGCCAGAAATCTGTGCAGGAAGCACTCTTCTCTCTTTCCCTCGCACGCCCTAAAATAAATGAAGAAATACGACCTAATGACACCCTCTAACAGCTTTATCACATATGCATGATAATTGCATCAGCAAACATTTGTATTGCAATTAAAGCGAGGAGGCAATAAACCATGAGGAATCAATTAAAAGAAGATCCCGGCTGCGGGAGCAGCATCCCATCCTCTCGCCTGTCCTGCTAAAATGGAATAAAGACCCAACCATCCCACTTTTTCCTATCTCCCACCCCCCAAAAAAAACCAAACCAGAGCAGGCTTGGCCTCCCCAAGGCGGGGTTGAGCAGGGTGTTGCTTTTTCCCTCTCCAGATTTCCCCAAGGCTGGAGCATCGCTGCCGGCTTTGCGTCGTCACGCGGGAGCATCGCTGCCCGGCGGCAGTGGATCCTCCGTGATGCAGCCGGTAGTTTTTGGTAGCTGAGGGGTTTTGGTAGCTGAGGGCTCGCCCTGGGTGCTGGCAGGATGGGGAGCAGAGGCAGCACCCCTGTGCCCACATGGTGCTGGGATTGGAGTTTATTTTTGGGGCTGGGACCCGCAGCGGGTTGGACCGCAGTTGGGTGTCAGTGGGTTGCTTAAAAGCACCGGGCTCAGCTCTGGGCTCAGCTCCTGCCAGAGCACAAATGGAAAGGTGCCGAAAATGGGCGTTATTTAAAGCAGGGTTCAGCCTTCTGGGTGTAAGCAAGGAAGGGAGCTCCCGCTGTGGGAATCGAGCCATGTGCAAACGCTGCTGCCATCACTGCGGGCTCCTCCAGCCCCTGCATGTTCCCCGAGACCCTCCCTCACCCCAGGACCAGCATTTTACTCAGCCCATCACCCCAAATAACAGAGGTTTGGCTGGAAGACGCCAACTTCCTCCCCACCAGCCCCACTCCAGCCAGCACTCAAAGGGCCCTTTGCCCACCAAGATGCATTTTTTGCCCCCCCGAGCTGCCCGCATTGACAAAAAAAGAAGATAAACCCACCAAAACAAACCCTTCCCCTGCACGTGCGGCTCCTTCCCCCGGGAGAGACTGAACGAGAGACTGAACTGCACGTGACAGATGTTAATCGCAGCATTTAATGCACTCCTGGAAGGCACTTGGATATAAGGGCTGGGTAGGAACCCGTACGGAGGAGAATAGACTATTGTCTCTTGTTTCCGCCAGCACCCACGGAGGAATAGATAACCCCATGATACACAATTCACCTGGGGTTTTATACTCTTAAATTGGGTTTTATACTCTTAAATTGGGTTTTATACTCTTAAATTGGGGGTTTATTGCTCTTAAATTGGGACTCTTATAACATACGCATGGTGAATATGCTCATTTCAATACAAATAAATAAATTAAAAACCCCATTGGAACATTTTTATTTTGTCCGCAGCTCGCCAAAAAGATGTTTGATCCGAGAGGGATACGGGAGAGGGGAAAACAGTGATGGAGGGATCACATCTGATTCACACCTGAGCATCCCCGCACCGACCACCTTCTGCGCGGCCTGGGAAATAATGAAAACCCATCAAATATTGGTTGTAGGTTGGAGAAGGGCTATTTGCCACGCGGGGCTGTCGGCGGCAGGGAATTGCGTTTCTGAGGCAGAAGCAGCATCCCGGCTCCCTGATTGAATTCCCCCTCGGTGACCCAGGGATGTAATTGCAGCGAAGGGGAGCCGGGGCAGATCGCGCCCGCCGTGGAAATCAGCATCTGCATCCATCACCCGACCTGGGAAGAAATTGAGGCAAGATGACTAAAGGTCCATAAAAGTAGCAAACTTATTGACTAATAGATTTCTTAGTCATGAAGTCCCCATGCTCCATATGTACCGAAATCAAAGCAATTACGGATTTAAATGAAGCTGGAATCCGTGGTGCAGAAAATGCTTGTTTTAGCGTAAGATTGGCCAGAGGTGAATGACCTGTAAAACCCCCGGTAATGAAAGCTCTTCACAGCTTGCAGTGTTTCACTGGATGGTAATTGCTGCAGTCTGTGATATGGATCTGGCTGTGTTAATGATGCCCTGTTCCTTTTCATAGGACTCATTTAAGCTTTCCCGTTTTTCTGGGATTTCAAAGCAACAAGGCACGGTGGAAATTAACACATTAACGTGGACGTTTTCTCACTCGGAGTATTTAAAATATTATTTAAAGCTTTCGACCCGCTATCGATTAACAAAGTGATGGGGAGCGGGAGCCTTGGGAGAGGGTGGCTGGTGTGTCTGTGTGCTGGAGACAAATGGAGTGCGACAGGGGTGTTCATCGCTCCCGGTTGGGCTACGTCGGTACGGTTTGTATTTTATTTAGCATGACAAGATGGATATATTAGAACAAAACATACATTAGGAAAAAAAAAAAAAAAAAAAAGAAGAGAGAGATATTTCTGGATGGGAATAAAAATCCTATTAACTTCCAAATGAAAACCACATCCAAGGGAGACAGTTGGCTTCCCTTCTTAGTTTATTATTAAATATTTTACTAGGGAGGGAAGTTCTGAGCTGAGCATCTTTTCCCTCCTGTTCCTGGCAAGAGCGCTTTGCGTAGCAGGGAGGGTTATTTCTTGGGTCTTTTTGTGCCAAAGCAGTTTCTGGGTGTAGATCAACAGGTGGTGATGGTGCATCAGGGGTGGGGGAAAGGCCCCGGCAGCACTTTGTGACTTGGGAGCAGCAAATTCAGAATGCTGGGGGTGAATCACAGCAGGTAAATGGATGCAGTGGGTGGGCTGGCGCTTCATCCCTGGGGATGGAGATGGGCAGAGCAGCTCCCGCCGCTCCTGAAATGCTTTTATTTTTTCCCCGAATGGGGAGGAGAGCTCTTCTTCCCTCCCAGCCCTTGCAATCTCTGTGTCCGAGGCGCCAGCCCAGCTCCCAAGGGGCTCCGGGATTAATTTCTTTCGGTGACCCTGGGGGCCGCTGCAGCCTGACCCCGATGCTGGAGGGGAGGCAAGGTCGGGGCGAAGGAGCAGAGGGGACCGCCAGCAAATGATAAGAAGCTCGGGGCTCTTAAGAGTTTGAACAATACGGAAATGGCATTTCCAGTTAACTTAATCACCACGCCGGCTCCGGCTGAATATAAGTGCCCAGATTCAATTACCATCCCCGCGCACTCGGTCCCCGGGGAGCACCGTGTCACTGTCCCCCCGCAGCCACCGGCTGCCAGCACCGCCGTCCCACGCCACCACCCC